TAGTACTTGCAGCAGTGAAGCATGTCAACTTGGTGGGCTGTGCTTCCTTTTAATCCAATCATTACTGGTACATACAGATTGATCTTATGTTGGCTATAAGAGGTTCTTGAATGTTGCACTTGTGTTCTGAAATAATATGCTGACTGCTGAATAGTTTGATGGATTGTTTTTCACCCACATAATCTGAGTCTATTTGTGGGTGGCAGGGACTATGATACAATTTCTTCAGTCAGGCATGTTGGGCCTGTGTTTCTCAATCCCTGCTGCCTCTGGGACCCTGATTTCTTCCACTCAGTGGTATCTATATGCCCCCTTGAGAAATTGAAGCTAGTACATGTGTAATATATATTTCATTTCTGCTCCCAGCTGCCTGGAGTACTGTTTGAGTACCCATTCTGATGACTGTCCTTCAGCTTGGTTTGAGAAAATGAATGCCAGGGAGCTTCCTATCGAAGATTGGCAGTGGATGAGCACTCTGGTTCTTGTAGGATGTTACCTGGAGTCTGCAGGTATTATTGACTATCTCTTCCACTGAGGACAAAAGACCTGTGTCACAGAGCTGCCAATCTTTGATTGAAAGCAGAGGAGCGCTTTGATCTATGCTACTTGTGTCTAGTAGTGCAGCTGCTACTATCCCTTGGGCTAGGTACAAATACAATTTTGTAGTCTTTTTGAGACAACCAATACAGACCAACTTTTAATCTGTCAGAGGCAGGGACTTTTATGGTACAATGATGGCAGAGCCACGGGAGGACAACTTCAAAGTATGAATGAAGGGGACATTGCAGATACAGATCTAAGGGATTTCAATATGTGCATAAGAAAGAGTACTGTATACATCAATTGGAACATTTATACACCCAATGCTAACACTTATCAGACACAACTCAGGACTTGTGTCCTGCCATGCATAGCAATGGCCCTCTATTGACAAGTTTGTTCATACGAATTGATGCATCTCGCATTGAGAAGGTGAGGGAACCGACTCCAGGTGTCAGGCCTTTCCCAGCTGCATCCAAAATGTTGTCCACTCAAGCTTGATCCGCGAGTGGCTCACTGTGATGGACAGCGCCAGCGCCGCACTCTACATTGCTTCATCAATTTTACCAGACGCAGCCATGTTGGAATTTCGGGGTTGTCGGTCGAGCTTGTGAGCTTGCGCATGATAGGATGGGGCCGCCGTAGGCAGCCGTAGCGGGTGAATTTTTATGCGGAACTCGTATATAGCCGCTGTCACTGCGTGTTAAGCCCGCCTGTTCGTGGACTGAACAGGCGAGTCAAGGTCACCTAGTTAGGTCGGTCCAAGTAGCCCTGAGTTCTCTAGAGAGTCAGGCCTATTCAGGCATAGAGTATCACATCTAATCAATGCACGACTATCTAATCTACAATAAGATGTAAGCCCATCGAATAGGCAAGTCTAGATAAGATGTAAGCCCCTGGAATAGCCAAGTACAGATAAGCTATTCGCATCAAGTCCAGGTGCAATTACCTCATATGGTCAACTATCAAACAGCAATGATGCAGGTTAACTCATATTAAATCATAATACGTAATACATGCGCCCCGCCACCGACGCGTCCTCAAAACCCTGCCGCGATGCGTCGTCCCTCACGCTCCCACCCAACCATCACCAGCTTGCATGGCGGAAGACCACCACTATCGCCGTCCGGAGGGCTTTCCCCAACAAGTATGGGACAGCCTCCCTTGTCATCTCCAGCGCCATATCATTGCGAGTCAGCAGGGCCGATTGCAGCCCCATGACCCTTACCGCGACGGTCCAATGGGTGATCCATACCCACCGGCTATTGATCCCAGTTTCGCCCAGAGTAGTTACGAGTAAGTCCTCGTACCTAATCGCGTGACAGCTGCCGCTCACGAGAGCCAGGCCACCGGGTCCAAGAAGTCGCCGCCTCCAGACTGGGACCCACCAAGGCCAAAGGGGTAGCCAGAACCTGCGACAACACCAGTATGATCCAGTCATATCTGACCTGATGACAGCTGACATGGTAACACCAGAGAGCAGGACCCAGAGCATGAGCGGAGGCGGGAGCAAGGGTGCCATGACCAGGATGGGGAGCAAGAACAGGAGCGCCATCGTGAACGAGAGCGTCAACGCATTCGAGACCGTGGTAGAGACCGCCAGCAGCGTGAGTGCGAAGATGATCGTCAACGCCGGTACCATGAGCGTGAGCGCGAAGATGAACGAGAACGCAGGTAGGCAATAGCTCTGGAGAATATACGCAAACTTATCACCTGCCTATAGGCCTGGGCCTTCTAATGCACGGACTCGAAAGCACCGCCGTGACACTGATGATTCAGATGAAGACCTCCCTGATCCAAGTCAAATCAGTACCTGGAAACATCCTCGTCGTGAAGATGGTGAGTTCTCACTCTCGAGACCCATGTGCAGTATCTTACCTGTAACCCGCCCATCTGATGACACAGGCACCCCTCGTCACAGATCCCGTTCACGTCCTTCCCCCTCCGACTCTGACCCCGACTCCAGCAATTATCCCCGGCACAGGGAATGACCTAAGCAAGGTCGACACAATGCAGCCAAGACGCGAAGGATCCGTGATCTTGAAGAAGGTCATGCACAGCCCCAATCCTACGGGAATGATGCTGAGGATCCGAGCTTCAAGTGTTGGAGGGAGCTCACTCAGCCGGTGGACAGCCTCAGTGAGCCCCGCCGTGCAGCGAAAAACCTCCTGGCAGTAAGTAGACCGTTATTCTTATAATACAAAAGATTACTCACACAATATAGGCCCTAGTATGCCGCAAATTCCGTGAGATATGTGGCGTCGAGGAAGGGGGGCATTGGCCTGAAGCTGATGAGGCCAGGGAGGGACCCGCTCTGGGTGAAGAATATTTCACCCCGGACTTCAATGCCAGTAGCAACCACTGGACCAATCAAGAGATCTTCGAGCGCGTAGCGAGTCTGGTGATGGAGGATCTCGCAGTGAGTGGCAATATGAGGATTCAGATTTACTGATGCTCACAGATCATAGAATCCTAATGAGAGGGAAGACAAATTTAACCATAGTTCCGTGTATTTCAATGCCCAGACAGTAAAGGTATTGGCGAAGAAGGCCTGGGAAGGGTATAAAGTCCAAGCCCGGGCTGACAGGGATCCAGAGAAAGGTGCTCGAAGGTGGAAAAATCAGGCAACAACATGACGTCTAGCACGAAGGGTTGCCGTAAGCGTCCTCGTATTTTGGTACAAATATTCACTCATCCATACAAAGGACTGCCACCACCTTCGTGGTGTTGCACCCATATACAAAGAACGCAAAAGCCGTGATCCTGTGAGGCTGCTCGAAGTAGACTGGCTTCCATTGTACGCCTCGAGTCCTGAGAAGGGTAGCAATGAGATGAAGGAACAATGGCAGCAGCAAATGGGACGTGCCACAGGGATGCCGCATGACGGCCCGGGTATGACTCCACAGCTGTTCAGCAAGCTCAAACTATGGGAATGAGTAAAGCCAGGTTGGGCTTCAGAGAAGGTAAGTACTTATCTTTACTATGTTCAGGCTGAAGCTGATGCTCTTCTGCATCCACAGCACATGGAGATCCTCGATGACCTTGACAAGCTGTGGTGGGAGCTTGCATCTGACGCCGACAAGCAGCACCTCACTGGAATTCACATCAACACTACTGATCATGCCTCCAATGCTCCCCCGGCGTTGGCTCCCTTCGACTTTATGATAGCTTGTGGATGGTGGGACAGGTATCATCAGACTTACCAGGACCACATCAGTGATTGGTTCGAGCACGGAAATCCATCTGGATGGGAAGACATACCTAATGATGAGGACGAGGATGAGGCTGAGGATGAAGATGCAGCAAGGGAACAAGGTCAGTGCTTGCAAGACTGACGAGGATAATACTCACCGAGTACTATGTCCGGCAGCCCAGAACCAAAAAATAGAAGAACTCTACGACGAGCGAGCGAGCTCTCATCAAGAGCCTTCTCAGCCAACCCCGAATCAAGATGAGGAAGAGGACTTTGCACCCGCTGTACCCAGCCCTATAGACATCCACTCGGGCCCTCCTTCTCGTTCTGATTCTCTTGCTCCTCCTGCGACGTCTACATCTGGCTCGTCGGTCTTGCAAGATCGGGATCAGTCAACTGACTCATCTGATGGATCTAGTGATGCAACTTCAGTAGACTCTGAGGCTGAACTCGATATCAACAAGCACAGACTGAAGACAACTCTGATAGACAACTCCCTGACTTAAATCTCCAGAAGCAAAGCTCTCCTCTGCCTTTGGCAGGCATGACCAAGCGCCGCCGCATCTCGCCAACATCCTCACATGAGGAGGAGAAAAGTTCCGACACTGACAACTCGTCTGACGACGATGAAGAACAGGAATATGAAAACATAAAACATCGATAAATCCACCACGAACGTACCCATTTTGCACCCCCCATTGTCTTGACGATCTCTGCAAGAACACGCTCCGAACCTCGCTTATCCCATTCATCTCTGCTCTGTTGGCCAAGAACACTCTGTTAGCTCACGAGACACTTACTCGGCTTCACCTGCGCTCTTCTCCGCTCTGGTGCTCCCCCCCCCGGCTGCTTCGGATATAACCTCCTCACCTGGACAGTGCATGCCTGTATCCTTAAGATCTTCGAATTGCTAGTGGCTCGCTGTCATCAATAGTTGTTGTGCTAATTGACCCTCCATCAGAATAGACTGTAGAACAATAGTTAGTAATGTGTTAGTGGTAGAATTCAATAAAGCGCTATAATATAAACATTGAAAATCAATGTTAGTCAATACTTCAGTGACTGATAACGCACTGGAGCAGAAAACTCGATGTAGTCCTGGAGACTTCATGAGATTGGCACTGATCTTGCATTAACCGACTGAAATCACAGCACGAAATGGATGAATGTCAAATTTTAAGATTATCGGCCACAGAGACTCCACAAGAGCATGAATCTACCCTACAATTCCTCATCCAGATTGAAGAATGCAGTAGGATGCTGGAAAAAAGATTAATATAGATGTACAAATGCTTGACAGGGAAGAGAGACTTACGCGGTCTAGTGTTACTGTCATCCACAGGGGTGGCTCTATAGTGTCGTACTGAGAGCGCAACAGCTGGCATTCTATTGTTGAGAAGGGAATAAAGGATAGAGGTGCTTCAGCATCCTTGCTATCATAGTACTTCCTTAGCTCCCAGCACTCAAACTCGAGCTCAGGGCTGTAAGATTCAGAATATACTGACCCGGGAACAAACATGATAGACTTACTAAGCCTCCCAGTAGTCCTTGTCAGTCGGGATGTAGTCTAGTTTCTTCATCCAGCGCATTTCCGCCCATAGGATGGCGTTATCGACACCATTCTGCTTGTGGCAAAAAATTGAGACCACCTCTCCACCAAGGACCTGATCACCAAGTCGTACTTTCACAATAGACGAGCCTACCGTCTGACGCAGATTGCATGAAGTGGGCACTATTCGCCGCCCATCTAGTACTGCATATTCATAGAAGACTGCCCTCGTAGAGATAGCGCGAGCGCCGGGTGGAGGATTGCAAGTAGTGGGGAAGAACACTTGATGGATACCCGAGGCGTTGTAATAGCCGTGTAAATGCTGAATTGCGGCATTCGAGAGCTTCTCCCCCATTCTGGCAGTTGCTGGACCTGTCTGTATGCGCAGTACAGCGGTAGCTATACAAGAGCACATATGACCATATATTTAAAGGGTATTGCGAGAGAGAGACCACAAACCGTCATTGAGGGTCGCGCGTTCGAGATCTGGAATGGGTGTTGACCCAATTGCTGCAGCCTGAATCGTACCACACTCTTCACCATCCCATGCAAGCATACGGGACAATACTTCACACTCAGCATGATTTGCAGGCTGCTTCGCTAGCATGGCAACCTTATAGAACGACACCAGTATGAGATCTGCATTTAAATGACGTACCAATGCTCTTGCACATTTTTCACAGCCAAAGGAGCACATGAGAGTGATCTCCATTTGGCCTCGCGTGTGGTGATTGGTGTGATAGCTCTTCAGTGTCTTATTCAGCCGCTCAGTCAAAAATAGCCAGAATCCATATACTGGGCCGTAGTCCCGTATCTGGTCTGGCTGGTGGACGACCCAACAGTGATTGGGCTTCATTGTGCCCTCGCCGTAGAGCTGCATCAATCACAATCAGTGAGACATAGAAATTGTAGAAGGTAAGAATGGCAACTTCTCGGTATTGGAGCAGGTACTCTTGAAGAAGGCTGAGAGCCCGAGCAATGCCACGAGTGTCGATGGACCATCCAAGCAATATCTTGAGGGACGTCGCAAACTTCAGAAATAGATCTGGCTCCTCCGCATGGAGACGGTGCACGAGGCAGAGTTGGCTCAGGATCCTTATTACTAGTCTTCTTCGAATCCGTCTTGCCCTCGTCCTGTGATTTCTTCTGTCTTCGAGCTTCACGTGCCTGCCATAACTTGTGGTCTTTCTTGTATTGTTCCAGCTCGGCTTCATAGTGCTCTTTGCCAGCACCAAGTGCTGCCACCGAGCCTTCGAGATATACATCCCAAATGATTGGAATCTGGAAGCCATTGATCGAGTTTGTCATTTGGGTAAGGTAATGCGGACTTACGATTATCGGGAGAGCGCCTGTGGTTGCGAACTTGTACTCATCAGCAGTGAGAGATCCACCAGCAGGTTCACCCATCCTCATGGGCAGGCGTCCAGCCCAGAGAGGGGATTCGACCTAACTTGATATCAGTAAGATCAACAATCAAGAGATCAGAGCACCATACAGTCTCTAGAAATTGATGCAGCATCCCGATCTCGCATTCAGATTTGGGAGTCGGAGCCCGTAATGCCTTTGTCTGAATCCACCGAGTGTACCACTGGTTTTTCGCGAGACCGAGAAGAACATTGTGCATGGGGTCGATAAGGGTGAACCAGACAAGGTCGAAGTATGACAGCCTTGCAAATTCTGTCCAGCGCGCACCAAACTTCAGGAACCAGCCATCACGTTGATCCTTGGTGTCAAGCTGTTTCCAGCGCCAACAGCGGGCCTTGTGCTCTTCTCCGTCCCTAGGAGGATATTCTGCAACAGCGTGAGAAACAGCGCAAAAAGGATGCGAAGACTCTCACCATTTCTCAGCGACTTCTCCAAGAACAACTCACTATGACGCACATGGCACTTGGTGCACGGGGCCTCATTGTGGCTGTGATCACTGAAGCCGCAGACTTTGCACATCGCCGGGTAGTCGCAGACGATTGCGAGAAGGAAGATGCATACGAGACGTCCTGAGGATACTCAGTATAGAGCGCTCAATAAGGAATACAAATACTCACCTTCAGGATGTTTCACTGTCGGAATACGCACCCCATCACCATATAATAAGCCTAGATCATCAACCAGGAACTTGAGGTAGCTTTGAAGCTGTTTGGCATTCGGCTCCTGAGGACCGGGGATGGCAACCGGTACAAGCAGATTCCTTGTTTGATAGCTAGAGTAGTGCATATAGTTAGACACAAATCAATAAAAGTCAGGAATCAAGCTGACCGTAACTCTGGGGGCAGGTTTGAGATACAGAAAGACATCATGCCGGATGAATGGCTCCCAGTGAAGTTGGAGTTGTTCATGTTAAACCTAGATTGAAGATAAGAGCTTAGAAAAGCACACGGGAGGATGTTAAACTTACCAATCCAGGCTGAAGGTCACACCAATTCGGAGCTTGTCCTCCTCAGTGTAAGATTCCCGAGCGAAGAACGGCTGATTATTACGGTCCTTTACTGTCCGCGGCACCTCACCGTCAAGCATGGACACATACTTCCCAGGCTCGTGTGAATGATCAACCCATCTTTCACATACACTCTCCATCTCCTCATCCTCGAGAAAGTCGGCCAGGAGATTGGAGAGTGTTGCAACGGGAACTGCCTTTGCAGGCAGCGGTTTGGGGGCGGGATGACAGCGGGCACGGTTCCAAAGGCGCTTGAGAATATTGGAGTGTTTCGAGACAAAGAGGGCAGTATTGCAGCCGGGGCACTTGGCATCAGCAGGGAGGTCAGGGCTGAAGAGACAGTGACAGCCGGGGCATGCAGGATGAATGCTGAATCGATCCTCCAGTCCGAAGTCACAAATAGCCTTTTGATATGTCGTCGGCATTGGGTCATCATCCCTGAGAGCACCCATACAAATAAAAATGGACCGCAGAGCAAAGAGGATGACGGTGCAGGCGCGAAAAGTAACATGATGAACAGTCTGGAGGTGAACAACGAGGAGGAGCACCAGTCGGACGAATCAGTGACTATGGGAGTTCATATATGCATCTTAAGGGGGGATTCTTGGTGGGAGGCACTTGACATCCCCACGGGAGATAGATACCGGCGATACGCGGGGCTCGGGAGATGTGCCGGATGGTGTGGGGCCTTCATCTATTGCGAGGTCCTCTGCGAGGTCACGCTGTAGCTGGTCGCCATCATCGGGATCATCATAAAGCCCAAGTGATCGTTCACCGTCAACCTCCTCATCCGCCTGCTCCTGTTCGAGTTTCTCTCGTTTCTCCTTCAGCGACATAACCTCCTTAATAACGCGCTTGACTGGGTGCCGCGCAGAACAGCGAGGACTTGGGGGGAGTGGGCCAATGCTGTGCATGGCTGGTTACGAGTCCTGAGCTGGGCATAAGATACTCCCTATTTTACACTGTATATCATAGAGCTGACACAAATATTCCTATCTTTCTTGAAGTATTATTTGAATTTCACTAGACCTCTCAAGATCATCTTGTATATTCCTTGATTTGCTATAGAGCTCTGGTTATATTATGGATTTCCCGCATTTTTCACAATTTTTCTGGCCCTTCTACAGCCTGCAATCAATTCCAGATACCAATGATGTAATGGCTCTGCAGATCGGGTGAACCTGCAGAGAGCCTATGTCATAGAAGGCGGGAGCCAATCAGAGTCCAGGAATCCAAACCGACGCGGCCCGCACCTCAGCCACTGACTACAAGCCACTACAATAGTCAATTCCCACGATAAGCAATAAAAGTAACACCGCCATGCGGACTAGGACAAGACACACAATCGGTAAATTTACGAAAATATTGTTTTAGACCCATATAGCATACTCCCCAGACTAGAGAAAATAAAAGAGAGATAAGACGAAGAATTGAGCCCGCAAATGAGCAAACAATGGTCACAGAGACTACAAAAACGCGCCAAAAGTGGTTTTGTAGTCTCACATACAAACGGACTTTCTAACGGAGTTTCAAAAGTGTAGTCTACAATACAAACTATAACTCCCACGACCTCTCGGCAAAAAAGGGTTCTCACGGGGTACAACGTTCGGCACGCAGGCATATTTTGCGCGTAAGGACTCGTCCTTCGTACCTCAGGACTCGTAAGCGGGGTTGTCGGCAGCGGGGGTGGTAGGTGACAGATCGGCTGGCTGAGGCGACGTGTGGGGCGCCGGTGAGGCAGAGCGCATAGACTCATTGTCTTCGGTATTTGAGGGAACATGCTGAGGCGAGGGTGACGCGGGGCCGGAAGCGAACACATCTTGTGTTGTGTCCATGAGATGCTAATATGCGTACAGCAAAGTCAATAATCTCGTATGCATA